TTTCTCACCCTCCACTCATCTCTTGCTCTTTGCTTATCCCTCACTCATCTCTCACCCCCTACTCATCTCATCCCCACTTCTTTCTCACCCTCCACTCATCTCTTGCTCTTTGCTTATCCCTCACTCATCTCTCACCCCCTACTCATCTCATCCCCACTTCTTTCTCACCCTCCACTCATCTCTTGACCCCTACTCATCTCTCACCCCAGGTTTAGCTCTTTTATTTGTAGTTTTGTATCCCAGGGGACCCTGCTGCTGGACAGCCAATAGGAAGTGTCCATGTCATGCACGTGGACGCTTGCCATTGGCTGCATTTATAAAAGACTGAGGTTTTATCTACTATTATCTACCGGGTAGGTCGATTCACTCTCATTATCCCCCGGTGACCATTGTTTTCATTGAAAGTGATTGGAAAGTCACAAATGTTGAGAGAAGACCTTCCAATGGTGACAACTGTTCTTGTGACAACTGTGCAAGACGGGATTTCCTCTCACTTTAAAAATAATCTTCGAGACAGGAAGTGATGGAAATTCTCCACAACAGGACACGGCAAAAATAAAACCTGACAGTGGTGTGAACCCTTCTCAACTTTATTTCAAACCCAAAATGAAGACTTGTCTGTAGATATGACACACGGTTCACGCAAAGCTTCTCGGCCTTTTGGTTAAGACCAAGTGTAGTATCTCCTAGTGTCCAGGAGGGGGAATGCGAAACTGTTCCGGCCTTATGGTGGGAATAGCTGGCTACAGAGTACACTGCCTGGAATGATGGGGGTCCTGGCCATGGGGAGGAAACTGAACTGAGCGCCCACTGGGTAAGGTGGGGGCCAGGGGTACTTCCCGAAGCGATGTGACTCCTGATTTTAACGGGTCTACCTGGCCTGGTCAAGGGCTTGGAAGCCAGGAGAGCCCACAGTGTCAGGTGCCCTTCCCTGGGAGTGGAGCCCTGGTGGAACCAGAACAGCACTATGGGTTTGGATCCCATTGTGTCACAGAACACTAGGCCAGGACACCCCCTGATTTCTTTCTGCACTACGCCTCTTGGGTCATTCTTTGAAAACCGGGCCGCAAGGCCTAGCCATTGTATAGTACATTGCCACTCATTTATTTCCTCCACTTTTGTCTGCGCACATTCACTTTTTTTTGCGTGTCTTTGCTTCTTGGCTTGTCCACGAGGATGAAGGGTGCGGGTCTTCGAGCCTACCCTGACGTCTAGCAGGAGGATGTGTGGCCATTAGGTTCCCTCCTCCCCTGAACTAGGGGTCTCCCTATTGTGTCAGGGAAAGGGCCCCATCTGCTGGGCATTTTACAGCCCGTGGGCCACATCTGGCCCGTGGTCCACACATGGACTGATCGCCAACCTGCACTCGGTTATGGCTGGGTGACAGTGGATGCTCCGTCTTCCAAGGCCGGTGTATCCATTGCAAGCCATAGTCCAGCGCAGACCCCCTCCTCTTCAGTCGTTGGTTGCTAAGACCGCTGGCGTCCTAGCAACCAAAGACGCCAAGTGTCCACCACTGGTTGCTAGGTCTGCCGGGCACACATAGCAACCAGTGATGTCAAATGTGTTCCCCGCCCCCTGCATTACAGGAGAGTGGAAGAAGATACTCTCTCTTGTAATCTGCTTCACCTCCCGCCTCTGGCCTACTAATAAAGTAGTAAACTAAGGTATGTGGGGACAATAATAAGAAAGGGCAATTTAAAGGGGTCAACTAATGTAAAGGGAGCACTCTGATGGGGCAACCAATGTAAGGGGCACTCTGATATGGACAACCAATGTAAGGGGCACTCTGATGGGGCAACCAATGTAAGGGGCACTCTGATGGGGCAACCAATGTAAGGGGCACTCTGATGGGGCAACCAATGTAAGGGGCACTCTGATGGGGCAACCAATGTAAGGGGCACTCTGATGGGGCAACCAATGTAAGGGGCACTCTGATGGGGCAACCAATGTAAGGGGCACTCTGATGGGGCAACCAATGTAAGGGGCACTCTGATGGGGCAACCAATGTAAGGGGCACTCTGATGGGGCAACCAATGTAAGGGGCACTCTGATGGGGCAACCAATGTAAGGGGCACTCTGATGGGGCAACCAATGTAAGGGGCACTCTGATGGGGCAACCAATGTAAGGGGCACTCTGATGGGGCAACCAATGTAAGGGGCACTCTGATGGGGCAACCAATGTAAGGGGCACTCTGATGGGGCAACCAATGTAAGGGGCACTCTGATGGGGCAACCAATGTAAGGGGCACTCTGATGGGGCAACCAATGTAAGGGGCACTCTGATGGGGCAACCAATGTAAGGGGCACTCTGATGGGGCAACCAATGTAAGGGGCACTCTGATGGGGCAACCAATGTAAGGGGCACTCTGATGGGGACTGCCAATGTAAGGGGGCACTCTGATATGGACAACCAATGTAAGGGGAGACTCTGATGGGGACAACCAATGTAAGGAAACACTCTGATATGGACAACCAATGTAAGGGGACACTCTGATATGGACAACCAATGTAAGGGGACACTCTGATGGGGACAACCAATGTAAGGGGGCACTCTGATGGGGACAACCAATGTAAGCTGACACTCTGATATGGACAACCAATGTAAGGGGGCCCCCAACATTAATTGCCCCCCATCAGATTTTTTACCAATTGACATATGTGCGTGTGCGCCTCCGCACCTTCACAGTAATGTGTTGGCCGTCCACACCAGTCCCAGTTCCTCTGTGCCGATCCCGCACCTCCAGATCACAATCCCTAAATAAAAAAAAGAAATGGTTCAATAAGGATTTTATTTTTAGCCCCCCTGCACATGTTCCCGCACAAACACCGCACCCACGTCAGAATCTGATTGGACAAAACGGTCAAATCCTCCTCCTCATCCAACCAGTTCTTTCTTTCATTATCCCCCCCCTCCCTCCCCCTTGGCTCGGGCCTACTTGGTCTTTGCTGTAAAGACAGGCCGGGTGTAATCCCCAGGCGCTCCACCAGGGGCAGACGGACGCTCGCTTCTCCTTTGTCTCTCCTCCCTTCCTGTTTATACGATGCAGCAACCATCTTAATCAATGTTCAGCAACAGATCCACCATTGCCGTGACAGTTCACCGACCAATCCCTCGCTGCGAGCAAGTCACATGATCGCTGCCAAACCAGATACTTTATATTGTTGCATAATTGTATGATTGACATATCTGCATATTGTAAAAATAAATAAACATCGGCCCCGTTTCTAGGAGGGCCCTTTATTTGCTTCAATTACATTTGTTGGGGCCCGATGTAAATATGAGACAGCATTTTACAACATTCGACCATTATAATGGCGGCGTAGGATGGAATGGTTGGCACCGTACCCCAATACTTGAAGATTTTTTACGTGAACAGTTAGCAGGTGTTGTCTGAAATTCTCACCTGGCATTGGCGTTCGTTCAGTCCGTACCCGCAATTTATTTGGGGATTCGCATATGTTGGAGGGGTCCATCTGCTCCCCTGGGAATTCTGGATGCACCCCAATAGACAGCCGTAAATAGATCAGGACGTTATTGGCGTTTTGTGGAAGATTTGACGCGCCGGGAGGCTGTGAATTCCCAATCCTGCTGTCAATAAAAAGCGCAATGGGAAGTGATTAGTAACTTGAGGGTTGTCATTACAATGGGGGGGCACACAGGGAAAGGCCTACGTCATCTAATCTGAGCAGAAGTTACCTTTACCGGGGTGCAGAGACACCCAGCCATTCCCCAGAAGCCAGCAGGGAAACCCCAAACAATGCCCTGAGCTTCAGGGGGCTTGAGGTGAACCCCAATTTCTTGTAGTGGACCCAGACTCTGGTTTTGTGGTTAGACAAAGGGGTCTGAGGCGTTGTGTACCTCCAGAATCTGCAGAAGGGGTGGGGTCAGCAGGCACCTGTTTTTGGGGTTCACTATCACCTCTGTGTGCTGTTTATCGGGGTGCTGTAGCATTTATTGTCCCTGGTTATTATTGAGCTTTCTATACATGTATTGCAGAGCACTACCACTGCAGGCAGATGTGAGCTCTTAAGAATGTGGGGTGCACCCCTTTAGATATTGTATACTGAGGTGTCCTCAGTCTGCCCTCTGTGAAAAGTTCCTGTGTTTCTCAATATTGGGGGGTCAACACTTCCCTATGAGCCTTCTCATGGTAACCTCTATATATGGGGTCTCTCTGTAGTTTTAGGGGGCACACTGTATTTATTTGGGTTCTCGTGCATCGGGGAAGGGTTCAGGCTTATATTGAGATTTTAGTATTGCGGTTGGTATCTAGAGGCTCCCTGAGATTTGGGGGTGCAGGTGGACCCAGCCCCTTCCTGAGATATTGGGGAGACCTACACACTTGGTCATGTGACTCTGCCCCTTTTCTGTTTGGGAGGTATCCTCCATACCTGGCTACGTAACCCCCACTCCTCCCTAATGTTTTGGGGCACTTTCCACTACTGGTCATGTGACCCAGCCTCTCCCTGATGTTCTGGGGTGCTCCCCACACATAATCATGGGACTCTGCCTTTCCCTGAGGTTTTGAGGGTGCCCTCCACATTTTTCCAAGTGACCCAGCAGCTCCTTAATATTTTGGGGTGCTCTCCACACCTAGACATATGTCCCAGCCCACCTCTAATGTTTTGGGGTGCTGTCCACACAGAAACATGTGACTTAGCCCCTCCCTCTCTTTCCCAGAGATTTCAGGGTGCTCTCCATACTTTGGTCATGTGACTTAGCCCCTCCCTGTTTTAGGGTGCTCTCCTCACAGCATCATGTGACTTAGCCTTTCCCAGAGGTTTCAGGGGGACTCTCCACAACTGGTCATGTGATCCAGCCCCTCCCTTTGCTCTTGGGGTGCCCTGCACACAGAGTCACGTGCCCCAGCTCCCTCCCTCAGTGCGGGATTATTTTGCCATGCCCCGCCCTCAGTGGGAGGGGGAAGTGGAGGTGGGACGCACGCGCTGCCTCGACTCGGCTCCAGCACCGGGGTGTGGCCAGCCAGCTGGTGACGTCAGAGCCCGCCCCCCAGCGCCTATCCTGACCAATGGGAGCGCGCTGAGGAAGTGACGTGACTGTATCCCTCCGCGGTGAGGCGCCGTGTTCCTCCGCTCGGCGCTCTTTGTGGCGCGCTGTGTGGCGGTGTGTGAGGGGCGGAGGGATCCGGGCGGAGAGCGAGCACCGGAGGCCGGACCAGGAGCAGGTGAGAGCCCCGGTGGGGGAGGGGCCACACCGAGACCAGGGAGGGCCGTCTGACACCCCCGCCGGCGCCATCTTCCTCCGCTGCACTATTTCCCTCTGGCTGTGGGCCCCTAGAGGCGTGGGGTGCTCTAGCTGAGGGCGTCCTGCCAGCTACAGCGCCTGGGAATGGAGGGCGGGCAGAACAATGGCTGCCTGTGAGCCCTGAGATGGAAATTACTTCCCCCTAAAATAGATCTTCGCAAGGGGCACACCGCTGGAGGACCCCTAAATGTATAATAATAATATCTGAGGCATCATGAACCTCTACAGGCTCCTCCCCTTTATGTGGGCTAATACAAGCTCCCCCCATAATGCACACAATTAGGGCACCAAGGCATCTCTCATAGGCCACACCTCTGGGGTGCTGCTGATTATATAATATGCAAGGAGGCCCCTCCCCTTTATGTGGGTTAATAAGGGGCTCCTCCCTTTAATATACAACACTGAGGTGCCTCCCCATTATGTGGGCCAATAAAGGCTCCTATCATGTGTTGCCCCTCCCCTCATGTATGGCAAAGGAGGCCCCTCCCTTTTTATTAAGGTAACTTCTAAGAACACCCATAAGGGAGGCTCCACCTTTCTATTGGCGCAAAGCAGGCCCCTCCTCATTATACACCCCTGGAGGCTCCTCCCTTTTAGTTTACAATGATGAGTGTTCACATAGCCCTCTCCTCACATAGATTTGTAAACCCTCCTGACTCCTCCCCTTAAATACATATGGTTTCCCCCTAAAACATATAAATCAGTAGGCCCCTAAAGACCTATGGATGAGGCCCCTAGGGGGTGGCCCTAGAATGGTGCTGCCCTGAGGCCCTGCCAGTGCTGATGGTTTCTCTTCTGTGGGGTGGCGAGGCAGATTGTATATTTGATCCTAGGGAGGAGCTAGCTTTGTTTCCTGACAGCTGGTGATGGGTTCTCTTTAGTGATCTCCTGAAAGTATAAAAAAAACAATCAGGCCTGGGATTGGAGGATAGGACACGCCCTCCTGGATGTTGTCACGGTGATGCATTTAGAAAATTGGGGGATTGCTTGAAAACGCGTCATACGCGATATACGCCATTGGAGAGTCAAATCTTATTCCTGGGGTCACTGGAGGGAGGGGTCTGCACTCTGCCACCATCTGCTGGCCACAAGCGCTGGCGCGAGCTCCTCCCGCATTTCTGCACTGTGTGTATGTATGTGTGTGTATATATATATATATACATACATACACACACACACATATAGAGTATATATGAATCAAATGAACCTACAGCACTCCAAATATTGTGAGGATGCCAACAACAAGAAAAACAAGAATCAGTCCAAGACTCCTATGTATATAGAGAGGGAGACATGCACATAATTTTTATTAATAATAATAATAATCTGTACATCATTTTTATAAAGACATTTTCGTCATTCTCTGCAGGTCTCTGACAAATCGTTTGGGGAAATTATCGGAGCTGAACCGTGAAAAAGGAACCCAGTCCAACAACCACCCTTGTAGGTGACCCGTGTGTGTTTTGTATTTTCAATGCCAAATAATAGTGTAAAGAAGAACCACAATATCTAATCGTGTGTATGTATGCGAGTGTGTGTTCCCCGAGTAGAGGTAACATCCCCTGCTTCCTGACAGATATGTACAAACACTCCGCGATCACTGATCACCGAATGCTTGTACCCGCTCTCAATCCTGACAGCTGAGCGGGGAGGAGAGCTCGATGTCCTCTTGACAGCTGGCTCCTCCCCCGCACCTGTGACAGCACTGGCTGTATCTGCCCCCACACAGCCGCTCTCCTCTGATCTGTGACATGAGGCTGAGCGGTGCGGGGAGGAGACACACCGGCCGCTCACAGCGTTCTCCTCCCGCACCGCTCGGCCTCCTCCTGTGACAGTTTCACTCCTCCCCGCTGGGACACATAGCAGTGCCCAGCGGGGAGGAGAGAAAGCAGGGATGCACCGCTATTTCAGCAGAAAAATGGCACTTTCCCCAAAACTGCCATTTTCGGATGATGTTTTGGCGGCCGATATATCGATGCATCCCTAATATTATATAT